ACTCATTTAAAGATTTTTTCTGGTTGCGAAATTTTCATGTCCGGACAACAAATAAAAGTGAATTCACAATAACAGAATAAATGCTATATGATATGTGTTTTTTTTAATGTCTGCGTCACACATACCTCCATAACGTGTTCACTTGGCTCTGATTGCCGATGAAGTCCTAACCTTACTCTGACTGATGTTGATTCAATAAGTTGACCAAATGTGTTTCTGTTTGTTCCTTTATTGGTCACACAATGCGCCGCGGTGATTATCCACTCCTCGTTAATTAGCGACCCACTACAGATACCACCATGAATATCGTGAAGTGGGGCATCGATGTCCAGGAATGCCACCCACGGCCACGATCCTTCGTTCGCTTCGTGGCCTCCTAGTAAACGTCCACGTGGTCGATCTCGGGGAGCGAAGCTTGCCTCTCCACAAACTATTCCCCGAAAATGAAGAATAAATGGACAATATATATAAGTGATCAAAACCAATTTTCATTATGAAAAATAAGATTGAAAAAGAGCCTACATTCTACTCAGCACAACGCGACAAATAATTTGCATAATATTGCCCGCGTGATTTGGTTACACTTACTTGGCTTACAAAATGGATTCTCGGAATCCCATAATGCATTAGGGCCACACTCTCTAATACTGGGTCCGACTAATTCATAGAATTCATCACAGTAATAAACCACTACGCTGGTATACGTGAAGCCGTCTCCCATGACTTCAAAGCGACCATGACTAACATCTGGTGGTGGCCCGCAGTTCACAACTATCGTTGGACATAAAGAAAGTCGCGGTGAGTTTTGTTTACATGTGAGCAGTAGTATACGGATTGTGGAATGTGAGAGTGTAGTGTCTTGCTCTACTCATTCAACGGACACTCGTTTGCAGGGAAAGTGCGAACATGTGCAACGCATATTAGTCGATTAACCTTTCGTTGTAACTCAACAAACGCTGACACCTAATATAGGAACGCCGTGAGCGAACAGATTTAATGAAATCTAGTCGAAACAAACTATAATCGGACGTGGATAGAGATAGAATAGTTTACCGAAGAAATAGAAATTGAACACACATTAAGAGTTATAATAAATTGACAGTCTTCTATTACAACCGGCATTATTAGTGGTAAAGATTTGTAAACACAGTCATGTACCTTTGCATTGTGGTTTGACTCCTGTCCAGCTGCCATCGTCTTTACACGTGCGTGTTTGTGAACCTACCAAGTAATAGCCGGTGTCACATGTGAAATGGATGTTTTCTTTGAACGTGAAATTACCCCCTCTCATCTGCCCATTGACTGGTGGATATAACGTCTCACAAGGCTGGGCTAGAAAACAAAAATGCAACTGTGTGAAGGAGATATAACACCTAAATACGTAAGAAATATAGAAACGGGAGGGTGCCAATCCGTCTATACATAATATATACTTACCGATTGTTGAATATACAGCTTTAAATCCGACATTGTTTCCAGAATAGTCAGAGTGAAACATTATCTTCATTTTATTACGAACAGAAACGATGTCAGATGGTGGTACATCGCCACAAAAAGGCCCCATGTAGTCGTCTCCATTCCACACCTGTATGCGGAAATACGTATGTCATATTTAACATTAATTATTTCTGTGTCACGTGACGCCCAGTGCTCATCGGTTGGTAGACTGGCAAAGTTAGGACTTTTTTTTGTTTTACAAAATGAAATAGTTAATTAATTGTTCTTTTAGTCCTTCTAGCGTGATCGCGAAAATTAACCTGACCGCAGTCACGCTAGTTTTCGCGATCACGTTAACAAATTGACAATTAATTATATTTTTTTGTAAAACAGAAGTCAAAACTAGAGAAAATTAGAACAGAAGCCAAAATTCGACTTTGCAAATCTAATTGGTTGGTTGCACTAATTGTCTGAGCTTGTTCACCAGTGTCAAAAGCGCCACCGTAATACATCACAAATTATTCCTTGACATACCGCTACACCTGAAATCTTCTGTTAACGTGTATTTGTAAAACATGTCTTTTCAGCAACTACGTAATCTCAACACTTTTTCTAAATTTAGAATAATGTTAATTCATGAATATATTGTATTAAATTCACTAATATATCATTTGACTAGCTGATGACGTATATATAAAATGTATTAGAATCTGAAAGTCTTACTGTAATAAAATCGTAATGTAACTGAAATATTACTTAAATGAGATCAAATCTGAATGCCTTACCTTAATAAAGTCATAGGGACAATTTACTTCCGGGTGAGACTCGATGTCAAACGTATCAAAATGTAAAGTAATGACGTAACCATCTTCAACATCAATTGTCCAGTCGCATTCGGAACTCTTCGGGTAATATAGAGGATAATCTGGTGACACTATAATGCCTTCGAGTTGATTGAACACGTGACCCGTACATTCAACTATTATAAATAGAAAGCTATGACGTCACATTGTAAACAATGCAAATGATACGATATCTTGGTGGAGCTGTACTCGGAACTAAGAAGCGAGTTTTGTTTTTAATTTATTTTGCATTATAATGCATCTTCCAAAATTATTTATAGCAAAAATTATTTATATTCAAAAATGAAAGTGACCTTATAGTTGCAATGTGAAATCAGGATTGGTTATGGCGCCCTCACCTCTGCATGTTCGTTGATCAGTGTGCAATATATACTCAGCACGGCATGAACAATAATACCCACTGAGGTAATTATGACAATAATGATCACAACCACCATTTTCAGTCGCACATTCGTCAATGTCTGGAATATAAAAATGACATTACTACTAGTATACTTATTTGTCAATAAATTTAATTTGCCAATGCTTCAATCATTTATTTCACGAATTTTGTTATTGACGGAACATATTTTTTTTCCTTACTTGAACTTGCTTTGATTTATTTGATTTTCTCACCATAGGCCTTCCACCCCCCCATAATACTCACCCTCTGCGTAGTAATGAGCCTTGAAACCAATAAATCTCTCTTCGTTAGAATAATCTGAGATGAACATTACTCGCATACGGTTGCTAGGTGACCGCACAGTTAGGTCATCACTCGTGACAAGAACTGAGTCCTTGTTCCCACAATGTCTTGCGATTTCTTGGTCATCTGAAAGCACCTCAAATAAATCAAAATGACAAGAGCGTATAAGTAAACTGCGATCGTTGACCGCTCTATAGCGATAAACCACTAATGTAACGCACCATTGTGATTGGATGACTGCGACCTATGACCTCGAATCTGCAAATCACAAAATAGCGATATAAATGAGCACATCGATGACCATGGATCGAAAGTTTTCTGAAAAATAAATCATCAAAGGCTTACGACATGTAGGGTTTATAATAGACTCCAAGCGATGGAGATTATTTTCTAGACAAGTTGTTACAAAAAAACTTCGAAAAGTCGTTTTTAATGACTTTTAGGTCACTACGCAACCCCAAATTTTATATATGTATAAATTGTGTATATGTGGAGATTTCGTCGACGAAAATTTAAATATACAACGCACGTACACGTACACACGTACATATCAAATAAATAGAAAGTGGTAATGGGTAATCGGAGTACTTGGTAATTATTCAATATAACCAGATGTTTGTGGTGATGTACACGTGAGTGGAATATTCGAATTGACTAAGAGATCGTACATAGTTTCCCATCAAATGCGATAAAGTGATGTAACACAATTTAATGGCGTTTTCTCTCTCTTTTAATTTTATCGCCATTAAATGAGGGTTAACGACCAGGTCGCCTGGCACGGGGCTTTACTGTTCCATTTGAATAATTCGAAGTAATAACGGTAGAATGTGTTAATCGACTGCCGCCGACTGAATTCTCAGCGAGTTCGTCGTACTGTGTGTCGTGTTGGGGGATACCAAAGAAAAAGATTGTGCTGAGTTAGAATTTACGTCGATCGTCGAAGGTGCAGTGCCATGGTAAAATATTTGCTGATCACTGCCAACTTCTTTGTATTCATAATCGTTTCCGTGGCGACAATTTCTGAGAGAAGTGGTATACATTCACGTTTGAGGTCAAAGGTGAAAATGTTAGTTTTATATAGCGGTCCGTGAAATGATAAATGATGAACCATTTACATAACATAGCGCAACCGTTTCTGTTGAGTATATAGATATTAAGCATAACGATGTACTTGCTTACTGGTAAATCCTTTCTTTGAATGACAAATATTACATTACATTACATTACATTACATTACATTACATTACATTACAACATAAGATCAATATATTTTGTGAGGTATATGGTTTGCTATGAAATATTTGCAAATATAATTTTATCATGAGCGAATGTTTTTACATTAGTTAGTTTTTGGCGACGGAGGAAAAATACTAACCAACATTTTTGCAGGGAAAGTACTTGGTAATTTTTGGGCGGAAAGCACGATGAACATAACATTGAAACTTGAGATCGGATAAAAACTGTTTGAGTTATTCAACAAAAACAACAACAACGAGGAGAAGGCGGAGGAGGAGAAAGAGGAGGGGAGGAGGGGGAGGAAGGAGGGAGGAGGAGGAGCACAATAAGCACAAACATGTTCTCCTCATATACATTTCCCCTCATCTGACGATGATCGAGCAACGTAAAAAAAGCATAGTTGAACTTAGGTGAAATTGCCCTTTGTTGTATAATATTATATATTATAATATTTATCATAGTTTCATGTTTCAATATGAATACGCATTGACTACAAACAAGTGTTGGGATTGAAACAGCAGTGGGAAAGCAGTCCGTCGAATGTCACTGATTGATGTAAATATCTTACAAAAATATTAGTGTCTAATTTGTTTAATTCAGATATTTTAGTATAAAAACAAATGCCTCATCTAGATTCGTAAAACATGTAAGAAAATATTAGCTGGCTTTTGCCCAAGTATTTTGTACAGCTGTCTGTCAAAGATTAATGATTTACTGAGACAAATACGACCTGCCTTATTGTGTTTAGTGTGTGACTACTGTATTATTTGAAAAGTAAGGAATAACTACCATGTTGCAAATTACCTCTGATAGTTAGTTGATGTCCAGTGAAGAGAGAAGTCACCAGTATTGTTGCCTCCTGAGAATCTACATCTTCAAACACTGCAATCTTTGTTTTTTGTGAGTTTTTTTAATTAGTATTATAAAAGCTCTATAATTCTGTTCTGATAACTAAGGCAAATTCCAGTGAATTTTGATTTTCAAAATTATACACTTCAACAATAACAATGTTTTGTCAAATACAGAATACATATGTTTGAGTACAATTTTCCTTTCAAAATGTGGAATCGATACAATGTTTTGATTTTTATGTATTTTTGCATTGTTTTTGATTTGATAACTTTGGACTAAACAGATTTTCTATTGGCTTCAGATCTTGATCAAAAGTTTGGCACCCAATTCATAAGAGTGCTTATATTGTTTTCTGAAAAGATTTTAGGCTTGCAAATGTTTATCAGACTGCGCAAAATCCATGAGTTGGTTTTGAAACCCAGTCTAGTATTCCCATGGGATGTGGAATATACGTTACCAATGATATTATTACAAGATAAATGATTTGCTTCATTGAACACATACAACAATGTGTATCACCAGTGATCAGTCTAGTAGAAACAGTCAAAATATTTTATCAGATTTTCTCAAAGTAAAAACTGCAACCATCAACGCTGACGAAAGACTAAAGTTGTCAGTCTGTATGCCGCAAATAGTTAACTACAACTATTTATTTCAAACTGAATTCAAAAACAACTACGACATTACAAATTGTCGTGGGGTCCTCTAGCCTGGAAATCGTCCCGGTTATTGTGAAGTAAAATAAATACAAAACATATATCGAAGAATAGTTTCACGCTTAGTTGAAACGTGCTGTAGACTATAACTATATAATATCTAGTTGAAGAGAGAATAATTGCCGCACACTAGAAATAGAATGAAATGTGGGCGGTACTTACTCGTATCATGTCGTATTCACACTGATAGGAGAACTCTATGTCAAATTCAGTGAAATACAACACTATTCGATAACCATCATCCACTTCGATATTCCAAATATTTTCGGCGTGGTTCGGATACATCCCGGGGAAGCTCGGGGAATGAAATGTTCCACCCATTCCTCCTAAATTGGTTTGGCAATTCACATCTTTAATACATAAGCTGAGAAGTGCCGTGGTGTAAAACAGTCCACCAATCACAATCTTCCTGTGAAATTTAGGGAAACAATTTCATGATTAGACATTCTACAGATTTGTATAGCAATAATCATTGCCAACTGGAAAATTGTCTTAGAATAAAGACGTGAATCCTCGAAGAGCCAACATTGCGAAACCAATCTACTACGTTACAGAAGATTTTACATCAAATATATGTCAATATACGCAATCTGATTAAAATCCGATGTAGGTATGTGGCTCCATTTTTTTTATATAACCCTTTATATTATATTTATTTGTATTTTAGTTTGAGTATGTCGATTTTTTTGGTTTTTCTTGCCGTTAATCAGTTCTTAGAAAATT